CATTATTCACAATTCATCATGTACATCACAATGCATATCTATGCACACAACTAAGCATATTCATCAATCATGCTTCTACAATTCACATCATTTTCACATAAACATTTACAATTATGTTTATTCACAAATCTCAATTATACAGATGATAAATGCAACTCATAGAGACCGACTCACGACTCTATGCAGATGCAAATGCGGTACCGACTCAATCAGTAGGTTCAATTGAAGAATCAAAATGGAACCATCGCTCGTTATCGAAGTAACTCCCCGTCGGGCCTACGATGTTCACCCATCGCTCACACCCCACATGGGCACAAGATGTTTCAGGATTTCTCACACCCCACACGGGCACACAATCTGATTGCTCACACCCCACATGGGCATACAATCGTTCTGCAGATTCTACGCGGAATCAAAATATAAACCATCGCTCACACCCCACATGGGCACACGAGGTTTCTGCAGATCCTACGCGGGATCAATCAACACAAGAATGCATATCATGATGCTTCACAGGCAAAATGACTCAATCAATTATAAACCATCGCTCACACCCCACATGGGCACACGAGGTTTCTGCAGATCCTACGTGGGATCAATCAACACAAGAATGCATACATATTTGCAGATATATTTTTCATGCATTCTTCACATTCATCACATACAATAATCATGCATTCACAATGTATATTGTATTCATCATTCATCACAATTACCATGCATTTTCAATCAATTCTAAACAATGCATATATTTTGCCCAAAGGCCACGATTCACAATCGATACGTAATCTAGGATTCACACCATACGGCTACCCCCAACACAACCATCAACAACACATAAGTTATTCATACAAGACGAGGCCGATTGCAACTGGACGCTCTAGCTAATTGAGCTTCGCTCACTCAAAATCGTTAATTCCGATTAATCGGTAAAATCGGCTAAAAGTCGGCTAAAAGTAATATTTCTTTTCACCAAGTTGTAGAACATATTATTAGCTTCAGTTTGATATAAAGAACGTCAAAATCTAATAAACAGTGAAAAAGTTATGAATTTTCGAAGTTTAAAAAAATAATATTTTCTCACACTTACAGTGTTAATCGGTTAATGCATATGGTTAACCGATTAACCACTCCAAAAACTCAGTTTTTAGGCCAAACACTCAGTTTTTAGGTCCCTAACACTGTGTTAATCGGTTAACGTATATGGTTAACCGATTAACACCTGAAAAACTTGGAAAAACAGCTACGGGTTTGGGCTTAAAAGCCCCAAAAACCCGACCGATTAAATGGTTTTCACCCGATTAAATGCCTATCCATCCTTACTAATCATATACGGACATTTTAGGATCATAAAACTCGAATTTCACAACATTTGATTTCCACTCAAAATCTTAACTTCAAATTAACCGAAAATGGTGAAACTCACAATATCACCCGATTTTCGCCAAACTAGTTTCAATAATCTTAGCCTAACATATTCCGACTAAACTATGAAAGTTATTCCCGATTCTAACCGTTCAAACATCGGTTTCTATCAATTAATTCCAATTCCGACCTAGAATGGAAACTATACAAGGACACCAAACAATCCAACACACATACACAATCATACACATTGATTAAGATAGTAAGATTTCACACCCTTACCTTAGATTAATCGAAGCCAGAGGATGTTCTTGATGATTCCAAGCTTTTCCTCTTCTCCTTCTCTTTTCTCTTCTTCCTTTTTCTTTCTCTTCTCTTCCCTTATGTTTTTTATTATTTTCTTTCCTCTCCACTTCCTCATATATATCTTTCCCTTTATTTCTTTCCATTATATTTCCTCTCTCAAAACATCTATCAATCCATTTAAACAATCATCTAATTATTCAAATAATTAGAATAATCCAAATAAATCAATTAATTAACACAATTGATTAATTATTGAAAATTGGGCTGTTACAGGGTTATCTCTCAAGGAAGAAGCCACAATCGTCGAAGTATTAAAAGAGAATGTAGATCTGTTCGCTTGGAAACCAACAAATATGGACGAGATTGACCCCAATGTAGTATGTCACCATTTGGCGTTAGATCCCACCATCAAACTAGTAGCGTAGAGGAAAAGGAATGAGGGCAAAGAAAAGAGGAGGGATGTAGAAGAAGAAGTTAGAAAGCTATTGAAAGTCAGGTTCGTCAAAGAAATCAGGTGCCCGACGTGGTTAGCCAATGGTAAAAAATAAATATAGGAAGTGGAGAATGTGTGTGTATTTCACTAACCTAAACAAGGCATGTTCGAAAGATTCCTATATGCTCCCTCACATAGATCAACTTATAGATGGAGCTTCCGCTTCTGCCTTCTCAGTTTTTTAGATGCATATTTCGGGTACAATCAGATATGAATGAATCCAGTGGATGCATCCAAGACGACATTCATGACAAATAAGAATAATTTCTATTATAAAGTGATGCCTTTCGGCTTAAAAAACGCAGGGGCTACTGTCGCAACGCGAAAAACAACCGGCGAAAAAATAGAGTCGCCACCGAACGTTATTTATTCAGACGGGGGAAAGGAAAAAATCGAAGAAACCTCAAAAGGGAGAAGACACGGTCTCGCAACCAAATCCTGAGTTCAGAAGTCGATTATGCGAGAGGAAGGTGTTAGCACCCCATCGCGTCCGTTGTACTCAACGGGATCCACGCTTGTTGTTCTAATCAAAGGGTGTGTTTATCTAAAGTCTATTTTCTAAACAAAAACAAGAAGGAGAAAAACAAAAGGTGACTCGATAGGATCTCGCAATCCTATGCCTACATATTCCCTCGTGCAATGGGAAAGTCAGAGTCAACATAGTTTGGAGGACTACGGGTGAATGGGGGGATTGTGCTCGCCAAGACTTCGTAGTCTTGTGCCTACATATCCTCATTCGAATGAGAAAGAGGAAGTCAGAGCAGTCGTAGTTCGACCTACCACGGGTTGGTTGGTATCTTTTATGAGCGATGCTAAGTTCGCGTTCGAGCAATTAAGGTCGATGTTTGTTTGCTGTGGAACGAAAATAGCACGCCCTTTCTGAAAAGGTTTTGACAGAAAATCCCTAAAGGACAAAATGGTTTGCATTTGTTTGAGAATTTTAAAGAAGTGGATTGAATTTTTTTGTGACGTGTATCGCACTAAAGTCTATGATATATGATTGAATACTTCACGCTAATGATCTAAATGTCTCGTGCGCAAAATACTCTAAGACGAGGTTAGAAATGCATCCACTCATCTTTTCCCGTGTGCTTAAGGCTCGTGACGCACTATGCACATCGTATTTATTAAGTATCTTATTTTTGTTAAGAGAGAGAAGAGAAGGACACAACACAAGATCTACGGGAGACTTGGTCCCAGGTGTTGTCATGCTAAATGGTCCTATAGTTGAGGTAAGAAAGGGAATTCTATCCTAGAAGTTATCATGCAAGAAAATTGATCCTAAAACCTAATGTCTATCTTAATTCAATTTATCGAAGATAAAATCAAATCCAGAACCTAAGAGAGCATAGAAATTATACAGGAAAGCAATCAAATACATGTAAAGTATCACAAGAAATCATTAGGCAATGTATCAAAATCAGAGTAAAGAAATTCACAGAATTCAGTAAGAAAATCTCAACAAAATATCAACTAAATTAATTAAAATCCTAATAAATTCTAAATAAACAAAAATATAAACAAGATTAATTCAAGGACTTAATCACAAACCTAAACCAAAAATTGATCACGGATTTTAATCAATAACTAACCATGAATTTACGTAAAAGATTAGTCACGAATTTTAATTGAAAATTAACCACTAATTTTAATTGACAATTAATCACAAACTATCAATCAATTGTAAATCACAAACTCCATTCAAAACCAACCACCAATTCTATCCTAGAAAGAAACACCCACTTATTTTGAAAATTAATCATAAAATTAGTCATGAGTTTATTTTAAATGGATCATAAATTAATTTTAAATTGATCACAAATCACAATCGACAAAATTAATCATATATTAGGTTAAAGGTTCATTACCAATTATAATATAAACACACATTTTATTAATAACCAAGTGTTTTGCTAAAAAAAAATTAAAATGAGTATGTAGAAAAACCATACGTTGGGCCCACGGGGGATGGCCCAACCGAATTTCAACAATTAAAGGCATGAGGGAGTGAAAATTTTTCTGTCCTGCCATGTTTTTACCAAATATTATCTTAAATGCCACACTTTTGGACATATATACGAGAATGCCACACTTTCAAAAATTGGTTGAAGCTTTCCGCCCATTCATTGGACGGTAGTGTCTAAATATAAAGGGTGTCAGTCTTCGGTCTTTCCGATCGCCCCTCTGGAAAGGAGAATGTGCATTAGCTAACCCAAAAAGAATTGCAATCTACACATGATATTCACGTCATTAAGTCCAAAATCGCGTCACTAACCAAAATTTGCAAAGTGGGCAGAACACGTCGGAGGAGAATCTGTGGGGACTTTTTTCCCATGTGAAATTCACGTAACAAACCACAATATTATTTGGAAATGTTCCCACGTGAAATTCACATCACTAATTATTGACATGTATTTCACGTTGTAAAATGCCTGTTTGAACCAAGATTGAAATGCGCCCAGGGTGTCAGTTTGGAAATGTTCCCACGTGATTTCCACGTCACTAATTAGCGACATGGTTTTCACGTCACAAAACTCAAACCTGTTTTAATTTTAGTGACGTGAATTTCACTTCACTAATGTATTCACTTCACTAATATTATTAAGACATAATGTTAATATTATTGTTAATATTTCAATATATATTTTTTAATATTTATTTAATTGATATAAATAATGTTAATATTATCTTATTAATATTTATTTATATTATCAATAATGTTAATATTAATATAATCAATTAATGTATAATATCAAATTATATTTTTTAATACATAATTTATATTAATTGATATCATTAACTAATATTATTTAATACATGATGATTAATAAAAACACTAACGATTACTTGTTCCCACATTGGGACACCGGATTCGATTGTGGCCTGTTTGACGACACATTGAACATTTTCTCTCAAGCTTATCAAAGTTATCAATTTCCATTGTAATACATGTGCTCACTGGGTGACCTTTCTTGTTCCTTCGCATTCTTGGGTTATGGCAAATTTGATCTCCTTCATAAACGGGCCAATATTCATCGTACGACAGCACTGGAAAGCTTGTGCTGTAAACCCCAAACAGGTTCGTAACATTATAAACGTCGGACAAAAGAGCGTAAGCCTCGTGGCGCACATTTGAACATGCAGCGATAACATGTGAGCAAGGGACACAAAATGCTTGAAACTTTCCGCAGTCACACCACCCGTTCAAGAGGTCGACCTTATAATGTCCTATAGGCTTCCCCTCACCATGGTCAATTATCTTCTTCACACTGAAAACATTGTTAGCGTAGTCAAAAATTTTGACTTGATGTGTGCTGGATTTTGTTGTTTCTTCTTTCATCACCTTGAGGCAGTTGTCTGTAAATGTTTGGCCAGAATTCAACACAGCACTCCACTTTGAACCTTGTCCAGCAAATAAAGATCCCAATCTATAATATGTTGCCCTTACCAATGCTATAACGGGAAAATTACGTGTGCCTTTAAAGACAACATTCATTGACTCGACAAGGTTGGTAGTCATGTGACCCCAACGTCGACCCCCGTCAAATTCCCTTGTCCATTTTTCGGCTGGAATATTGTCAATCCACCTTAAAGCATCTGTATTTGCCATGCCAATCTCTGACCGATAGTAATGAAATGTTGGTTGGTTTAAAGCGTACCCTGAATAATTAAAATATCAGTCAACAAAGGACAAAGAAATAATATATGTTATTGACAAAATTTAATGAATATTATGAAATATAGTTACCCATGTTAATTATTTTTTCCCGTAGGTTCCTGTCCTTGATTTCTCTCATAAAATTTTGTGCAATGTGTCGGATACAGTAAACATGCACTGATGGGGGATCATGCCAACCATTTTCCACATTGTTGTATGCACTTTTAATTGATGCATGTCGGTCTGAAATTAAACATAGATCTGGTTGTGGCGCAACATGCCTCCTCAAGTTTCTCAGAAAAAACCCCAACCTTCCGCGGTTTCACCTTCCACAAGGGCAAAGGCAACCGGAAATATATTGTTGTTGCTATCTTATGCCACTGCGATAAGCAGTGTACCCTTGTACTTACCGTATAACCAGGTTCCATCAATTTGAAGTGTAGGTTTGCAATAGGCAAAACCTCTGATGCATGGTTGGAATGCCCAGAATAGCCAGTGGAAGATGTGCTTCCCTTCAACAATAGTCCCGTCAGCTGTATACATGGCTAGTGTTTCTATTTCCAGCACAGGGCCCGGAACAAATTTTTTAAGTGCTAACAGAAAATGTGGAAGTTCATTGTATGAGCTCTCTCAGTTACCGTACACCTGTTCAATTGCCTTATTTCTTGCTATCCATGTTTTTCTGTAAGACGGAGTAAAATTGTATTCAGAAACAATTTTACTTATGCAAACACTAACCTTAATAGAAGGATCCTTGTCTACAAAAGGCATTAATTTCTGAGATATTAACTGCGAGGTTAGTTTTTGATGATCCTGATTAAACAAAGTTGTTGAACAACTATGGGGTGGGTTCATAATGCCTATCTCCCACAAGTCACTTCTTTTTCGGTAGGACGCTAATAGACAAAACTTGCTGGAATCATTCTTGCAACAAATTATGTATCTCTTCTTGTCGGAATCTGTCACTTTATAATCCACACAGTGCTTCATGTGGTATTGCTTAATGGCAGCAACACAGTCAGCTTTATTTTTAAATTGGTTACCGACTTCTATGTCACCCTCCATTGGAATATGAGGATTCCGTGGCCAATCAAATGATGTTGTTTCTACATTTATTGGCAGGGTTGTCATATGCGCCGGTGGGGTGAATACATTCTCAACTGGAATGTATTATTCATCTCTGTTGACTTCGTTGACCCTGTTCCCTTCCTCAAACAAAGTAGTAAATAAATCATCAACATGTGCCTCGTTTTCTTCTTCGTCGCCGTCTTCTTCAACATCTTCGTGTGGAATTATGGATAGATTGATGACCTGAGAAATTTGAGTTTCTTGACATTGTGAAAATGTTACATATAATTCAAGATGCTGAAACCCAAAATGTTCATGATTCGAGAACATCGTTTCAACATCCTCGTCGTCACGAACCTTTAGTGGAACAAATTTAAAGTGATGGTCCCCGAAATGGACAACATTTTTGTACGTAATCTGTGACACTGGTCCAACTTGCACCTTCATCTGTACCCTATCTTTAAAATGTTGGAATGACGATCTTTTATTAACACTGAAACGAGTTACGTCAGTGATTTCAAAGATCAAACCAACTTCATCTGATACAACAATACTCCCATTGAAATGAGCATCAACAATATATTGTTGGCTAGTAGGCATAATGTAAGATGATAGTATGAAGAAATAATTAGGATAGTAAGACTAAATAATTGAGTAGAAATAGAAATAAATATAGAAGAATGAATGTTTGAGTAGTATAAATAATTAGACTTAATAATTGAGTAGAGATAGTATGAATGTTTGAGTAGTAGAATGAATGTTTGAATATAGGAGAATGGTAGTAAAAATGAATGTTTGAATATAGGAGAATGGTAGTATAAATAAATATTTGAAGAATGTTAAAAAACTAATATCATGCATGCAAACAATGTTGTTGGACGTAAGGGGAACGAAAAAAGTGGTCAACGAAGGCATATTAATGCCGCCCATTGAATGGGCAGTTGTCAGTAGCATTAAAACGTTGTCGCCCATTGTAAATGCGGTTGTCAGTAGCATTAATATATTACCGCCCATTGTAAAGGCGGTTGTCTGAAAAGTTGGCAGACAAATTGAAAGCCTGCCGCCCATGCATTTCACGTGACTCTGAAAAGTTGGCAGAAGAATTTAAACATTGTCGCCCATTAAGGGAACGCCTGTCAGGCAAAATCCAACAGTGCCGCCGACATAAGTATATAGAGCCTGATGAGGTTATCAAATCGTATTTGATTCAAGCGGGTTTCGGTCACGTCATCAAAATAACATCATATGGAATTGATCGCGTTGTGTGAAAGATGGCGACCCGAAACCCACACTTTTCACCTCCCCACAGGGGAATGCACAGTGACACTTGAGGATGTCCACATATTGTTGGGTCTTCGTGTCAATGGGTTAGCGGTTGTGGGTGACACAAACGTTAACTATGGATTAGTGGAATAACTGTTGGGGGTGCCTTTGGAACGAGGTGATAGGAAGGGGAAAAGCCTAAAAATCACATGGCTAAAAAGAATTTACGGTGCTTTGAACCTAACCGATGAGTCTCCCGAGGAACACAAAATTTATAAGACTATAATTTATTTACTATTGCTTTTTGCATGTTTTTTATTTCCTGATACTAATGGTAATATATTCATCTTCAATATTCACCATTATTAGAAGATTTAAGTCAAGTAGGTAGCTATAGTTGGGGCGCTGCTACATTAGCGCATCTGTACAAAAATTTGTGTAGATGCGCAATGAAAAATGTGCATAATTTTGCTGGTTGTGGTGTTTTGATTCAAGCCTGGGGATGGTCCAGAATGCCGAGACTGTCGCCTCTCAACCCCAATCCATACCACTTTCCATACGCAACCAAGTAAGTATACAAAGTTTATGTATATATTCTTTTCATCTATAATTTTTACTAACTATTTCTTTCATAGGTGGTCCGCATATGGGATGAATTACGAAAAAAATCTGCATCACTGTGCTCCTGGGTATCGGACGTTCTTCGATCATTTTGAGGAAGACGATGTATTGTCTCTAATTCCTTATTTTTTTACTAGCATTTTCCATTTTTTTCTCTAATCCCTTTTTTATTTTATTATAGTTTCTACGGAGACCCTATCTTGAACTTGAAGATGAGGATCCAACTGAAAGCGATATGTGGAGTTCTACAACATTCATATTTTCTTTCACTTATGTGGAAATGCATCATTCAGATAGGGTGAAACTCCAATTCGGAATTAAACAAGACATTCTTGGTCCACCTACATGCATGGAGAGGTACCACAAGAGTACAGCGAACGACCAATGGAAATTCGATGATTGGAGAGACCATAACAGACAAGAACGACATCACTGGATAAATCGTCGTCGCACTGTTCTACGAGGAAATGTCATGGATACCGAATGTAAACCCAGTAGGGAATACATGACTTGGTATAGATCCGTGACCAATTTGTATCTATCACAAAATAGATACTTATGGGACCCTCGAAACCAACCAACTCCTTCAAACTTCCAAAACATCCCCTCCATGACTTGTAACACCCAACCATACATATTTAACACCCCACAACAGATATTTAACACCCAATAACAAACATTCAACCCCAACCCAATGATAACACGAAATCATATAGATATTTTCATGCATAATTCAACTAAAATCTAACCGTTTTCGATCCGATTTCGGGTTATTTCCGTATATTTGTCTGATGTTTTGCAGGTATTCAACGACCACGTCTAAACAAGGCAACATGAAGAAAAGAAGCAATCTCAGATGAAATATGGACGAAAAAGGAGTGAAAATACAATGAAAAGCGCAGCAAGCTGTTTTTGCTGATGTGACGACCGTCACAGCTTCATGACGACCGTCACACGGGTGACGACCGTCACACCTTGTGACGACCGTCATGCAGGCAAAAACGCCCCACTCAGATTACACGTCAAAAGAGCAGTTCCAATTCCCACAGAGTGAACCACTACTCCCTAAATTATCTGCCTCAAGGTCCATCATCTTCAGAGATAACCGTTGGGATTCCACTTCTATAAAAAGGGAAGCAGAGGACTTCAGAAGGGAAGCTGCATTCATACCACGAAGTGCTGCCGAATTTACTTTCCAGAGCAATTACTTTCCAGTTTTATTTGTATTCATTTCTCTTTACCTTTCCTTATTCCCATTCTCGCTCTTCTGTAATTTCTATTGTACTGTACGATCAAATTGGCACTAAAGACCAGAATCCTGCCAACATCTGTGGAGGATCTGCCCAAAGGCCAATTGGCATATTTACAGGTTTTCATTTTGATCGACTTCAGTTTTATTATAATGCAGATTTTTATTTATTATTCTTATTTATATTTTGTTTTTCCCAAATCCATGTCTAGCTAAACTTAGGTAATCGATATGTAGTAATAATTCGAATGGGATTTGATAACCACTGGTTGGGAAACTTTCTTTTCACAAAAGTAATTTATGGTCTGAGTGTTTAAAATTGATTCACGGAATAAACTTCGTCGCGAAAGCGAGAACTTATTTAAAAGTAGTTTTGCCACGAAAGTGGGAAATTAATTAAGATACGAACCAACAAGCGAAAGCTGCGGTAAGGTCAGATAGTAAACACTAGGCATTTGTTTTAATAACAGCGAAAGCACTTTAAAATGAATTAGAACTTAGAGATTTCCAAAAAATAATTTTAACCCCGAACGGGATACGAAAGTGTACGTTTGGCCCTTAGGATTATGATTAGCGTCAATAACCATCGTGAGACGAGAGTCTTCAAATCTCCATTTTCCGCTTAAATAAACTTTGAAAATTATTTCATACACCAGTAATTTATGAAATCCCTGAAGAACACAATTACTACGTATCGATTCGATTAATTATAATCTAAATAGTAATCTTAGTTCCCTTTTTAGTGACAATCTTATTGCCTTAAACATATTCTACCTAGCTAAACATAGTAACTCCCGAGAACACTAGTTTGATTACGAGTCCCTGTGGGATCGATATCTATTATTACTACGCGATAGACTGTGCACTTACAGTTAGTTGTATTAGACATAGAAAGTCGCGATCAAGTTTTTAGCGCCGTTGCCGGGGACCCGTTTAGTCAATAGTGTAACCTTCTGTTACGCCGTATAGACTAGGTTAACAATTTTCATTTTTCCTTTACTAGTTCTGTCGATTGTATGCCAAGAAATCGCCCGCAAAGCGATATCGTTAAACCTTCAGTCGCAGAACTAGAACGCTTCTTACATTTAAGAAGTAGAATCATTGAGAACCAACTCAAACAACTCAAACATAACACTCCCGAACCTCTCACTCCCATTCCCAAATCAGAAGAAGAAGAACCAGAGATGGCTGAAGGACCTCCGAACAAACCGCTGAAGGCATACGCTACACCATCTCAGATGGAGCCTAGAAGTAACATTGCTGCCCCAGCTATTACCCGAAATGATTTTGAGCTGAAACCGTCATTGCTGTCGGCTGTACAACAAAACCAATTCTCAGGAAACGCAACTGAGGATCCGAACGAACATCTAACGAAGTTTGTACAATACGCAGACACAGTGAAAGCAAATGGAGTAACTCCAGACGCGATAAGACTTCATCTTTTCCCATTCTCTCTTAGAGACAGAGCATGGACATGGTTACAATCGTTACCATCCAACTCCGTTACGACGTGGGAGCAATTGAAGAACGTCTTCTTAGCGAGATATTTTCCGCCAAGCAAAACTGCTATGCTTAGAGCTCAAATCAACGGATTTCGACAAAAAGATACTGAATCTCTTTACGAAGCATGGGAACGATTCAAAGATATGATGAGAACATGTCCTCACCCCGGTCTAGAAGACTGGGTGACAATCCATACCTTCTATAATGGGCTTCTATATAATACTAGATTGACAATAGACGCTGCCGCGGGCGGTGCACTTATGGATAAGCCATACGATGAAGCCTATCAATTAATAGAAAACATGTCACAAAACCATTGCCAATGGGGAGGCGAATGCACTCCAACTGAGAAAACCATAGCGAAAGGTGGGATGTGTGAAATCAGTAGCCTTGAAAAGTTCAATGCTAAAGTAGATGCTCTAGCACAGAAAATCGATAGTCTGACCGTTAACCCCACTGCAACTGTCGCTGCAGTAACTCCAAATTGCGAATTATGCAGAAGCACCACTCATAATGCACCCGAATGCCCATTGCTAGCCGGAATCCCGCCAGACCAGGTAAATTATGCTCAAGGAAATCCCTACGCAAATACCTACAACCCAGGTTGGCGAAATCATCCAAACTTTTCTTACAAAAGCGAAAATGCATTGCAAATGCCTACTGCTCCGCCAGGATATCAGAAACCAGCTGCTCAGAATGTACCTAGGAAATCGAACCTCGAATTGATGATGGAAAAGTTCATAGCTACTCAAGCTCAAACAAACAAAGAGTTCCTAAACCAAAACATACACACTAGCGAGCAAATTAAACAGTTGACAGGAAAAGTAGACGCTTTAGCCACCCACAACAAAATGTTAGAAACTCAGATATCATAAGTGGCTCAACAGCAAGCATCTGCTGCCGCACCTGCTGGCATATTTCCTGGACAACCCGAACAGAATCCCAAAGGCCAAGCAAATGCTGTGATACTAAGAAGTGGAAAAGAATTGGACGAACCGATCGATCCGAGGACCGAAAACTCAGCCATGCAACAAAAACCAACTGAACAAGCAGAAAAGGAATCTGAGTTAGAGAAGAAGGAGGATACCGCAAGTGAAAAAACTCAAGCACCTCCAGCGCCATATAAACCACCTATTCCTTATCCGCAAAGACTAATAAACTCCAAAACTTCAGGACAGTTTAAGAAATTTGTAGAGCTTCTTAAACAGTTGAATATTACTATTCCTTTTATAGAAGCAATAACTCAAATGCCGTCATACGCTAAATTTCTCAAAGAGATCCTGTCGAATAAGAGAAAGATCAAGGATAACGAAACAGTTACACTTACTGCAGAGTGTAGCGCTATTATTCAGAACCGCATGCCTCCTAAATTAAAAGACCCAGGTAGTTTCTCCATACCCTGCATCATAGGAAAGTTCGTAATAGACAAAGCTCTATGCGATTTAGGAGCTAGTATCAGTGTTATGCCCTTATCTATATGCAAAAAGCTGAATATGGGAGACCTCAGGCCAACCAAAATGTCCGTACAATTAGCTGACAAATCAGTAAAATACCCCGTCGGAATACTGGAAAACGTTCCAGTACGCATAGGACAATTCTACATTCCAATCGACTTCATAATCATGGACATCAAGGAGGACACTGTAACCCCAATTATCCTAGGAAGACCGTTCCTAGCTACAGCCGGAGCCATTATAGACGTGAAGAAAGGAAGGCTAACATTCGAAGTAGGAGAAGAAAAGATAGAGTTCATTCTCACCAAGTTCTTACAAGCACCAGCAATAGACGATACCTGCTATTTAGTAGACGAAATCGACGAATGCATAAGAGAACTTGAAAATAAAGAGACCACGTATTCAGAAATAATAAAGATTCAAATACCCGACATTTCTGAAGACGACAATTGGCGTAAACCGTACAAAGACGATAGCCTAAGCGAAAGCTTAGCACTGACCCCAAACCATATGCCAGGTCCGAAGAACCCATCTTTAGAACTTAAAACACTACCCAAAAACCTCAGATATGAATTTCTAGACGATGAACTAAAAAGACCAGTGATAGTCAACGCCAACTTAGGACAACCAGAAACCGAAAAGTTATTAGAAGTCCTAAAGAAGTACCCCACCGCGTTAGGCTATAACATAAGCGATTTAAAAGGTATAAGCCCTTCAATCTGTATGCACCGAATTACAATAGAGGAAGACTCTAAAACCTCTCGAGAGCATCAGAGAAGACTAAACCCCATCCTGAGCACTGTAGTCAGAGATGAAGTAAAGAAATTACTAGATGCAGGAATCATCTATCCGATCTCCGATAGTGAATGGGTTAGCCCAGTTCACGTCGTACCAAAGAAAGGAGGAGTCACAGTAGTTAAAAACGAAAAAGGCGAATCAATAACAAAAAGAGTCGTGACTGGAAGCAGGATGTGCATTGACTATAGAAAGCTTAACAAGGCTACATGCAAAGATCACTTCCCGCTACCCTTCATAGACCAAATGTTGGAGAGATTAGCCAAACATTCATATTTCTGCTATCTAGATGGTTACTCAGGATTCTTCCAAATTCCCATCCATCCTGATGACCAAGAAAAGACTACATTCACCTGTCCTTACGGTACTTTTGCTTACCGCCGAATGCCGTTCGGACTCTGTAACGCTCCAGCAACCTTCCAAAGATGCATGATGGCAATCTTCGCAGATTTCATAGACGACATTATGGAAGTGTTTATGGACGATTTCTCGGTATGTGGACAAAGTTTCGAAGGATGCTTACAAAACTTAGAAATGGTACTAGAACGTTGCGTAAAAGTAAACCTCGTCCTAAATTGGGAGAAATGCCATTTTATGGTCCGACAAGGAATAGTTCTAGGACACGTCATATCAGATAGAGGGATTGAGGTAGACAAAGCTAAAATAGAGATT